GTAGTCGTACGAGTACGACGTAGTGCGACAGACAATACACTAGTACGGAAGTACCGAATTTTTTACCCCCCCCCCCCCCGAACTTTTACTCAACTAACATACGAACACGCATAAATTGATTATCCACTATACAAATTGTCCGCTTTATGATATACGTTTAACATACTGAAAGTTAGCTCCCATTAGAAAGTGCAGCAATACTTGCATCACATAGTTCACACAGCAATTTCTTGTGTTTGATTCAAACATGTCAAAGTTAGTGACTTATGCTTATCTTAAGTTAAGTGAAGGAGAGATGCAAATAAGTCACTGGCAAAGTTTTTTTTTTTAAAACAGAACGAGGCTCACCAATCTATATCTTGTCAAAATCATCATCGAAGGCATCATCCCCATCATCTGAAAAATGAAACAGATAGTCAATGTGCTGCAACCTGATCATTCAGAATGTGTAATACATTTGCTTAAAGGTCAGATTCTTCAACAGCAACAAGAAAATCTAAAAGGAACGACATATTTCAATCTTGAAAACAAACAAAGGAATGGACATGAAATATAAAATGTAAAATGTTATAATGGAACTCATAAAGCTTGAAAAGCCTATCAGCTTGTTAAGCAACTTATTACTTCTACAACACTGAAACTAAGACAAGTTTTTGGTGGTTATCAGTGTGGATATTTTAAGCCTCCACTAATAAAAATGGAGATGCCCCATGTCATTACAAATGCTATGTGGATGCTTGATATAATTTATAGTGGTCAACATTATTTTATGAAAAAAAGCCATACTTGACAGGAAAGATGAACACTAACATTTGTGAACAGAAGGAAATGTTTAAGTTTTATTCTTTTGATAAGGTTTTCTGAAATTGTCTTGCAGATCTTTGTGATACATGTATGCATAAAGTACTACTTATCCTAAATGCTATTTGAAGGCCAAAAGTGAAAGATTTCAAGCAGAGATAGTAATTGCAGATCTAAGACAACAATAGATAACTGCATCAAAATTATTGTCTTCTAGAATTATCTTATTTATTCTAGATGGCAACAGATTAAGGCCACAATTTTGAGTGGAGTGGACACACTAACTGTGTGCAAACCAAAATTTAATGAAAGACAGAGAACATTTATAACAGTTCTTACTTTTTTTGTTTATTCTATCATTATTATTATAAAGGTAGGATATACAATTACCACTGTTATTATGGAATCAAATTGTGATAACAGTTTTTATCAATCCAATAACGATATGTAGAAAAAAGGAAAACGACACCTAGCCAATATACTACAAAGGATTGAAGCTGGTATGTTCAGACTAATCTTGCTTCTTATTCGTTTACTTTTGCTTTCCTTGTTGTTACAAGAGAGGGACATGCAAAGAGCAAAGATAGAAAGATTGACTACAGAACTATAAGCAAAGAGCAATCTGTTGTTCAACCAGTTGGAGAATATGTTGAAGTGTAAATAGAGTACCTGGCCCATCATCGCTGTCTTCTCCAAGGAGAAAAATATCCAAATCCTGGTCTGACGTTGATGAGGCTGCCTTTTTATTTGTCTGGGGTGTTGCCTCAACCACTGGTTTAGAAGTTGTTCCAGCTGATGAAACCTGCTTTTCACTCTCCACTTGTGCCTTTTCAACAGATTTTATTTCGGCCTCTTCCATGTATTTCTTTTCATACCTAATTCAGATGTAGCCTAAATTAGTAAAGCTCTAACTACTATCTATGGGCCAAATCCAAGAAATGCATACTTGAACGGAGAAGAAAATGAAGGTTAATCATATTTCGGCATAGTGAACAAACACTCTGCTTATTTTACCATGTACCCTAAACCAAACCTTCCCCAGGAAAGCAGCTATATGCCTCTATTAGCTGTAATAAAAATGCCTTACTTTGTGGCCTTTTTATTTAGGAGGCAAATCTCCCTGTTAGTTTAAAGCCTCTACACGGTCTTCATTGATGCGAAGGGGCACCACCAATTTGTTACCACATAAAGGAATTAACCCTATACTCATGAATTAGTATTATTATCTATTAGAAAGTGCTAATATATATTGAGTGAAAAGGCACGTAAAATAGTGTGTAGTGTATACATCTGATCACTAAAACTCAGTTGCTTTCATGATAGGAGACTAAGAAAGTTCGTTATCCTTTTTACATCATTGACTTTATTCATTTACACAAAAAGCCAAAAGGTAAATAATATGTACTTTAATCTGAGAATATTCTCAGCTTTGCTTTCAGAAACCCTCTGACCCTCTCTTTCGACAACAAATGTCCCACATCTTGCTTCACTCCTTACCAGATTCTTTGTTGTTCCAGCACAGCATTCAATTCTTTACTGTTATGGGCATATAATACACACTAAAATGTACTGACAAAGAACTGAGACAGTTGTGAGGCCATGTCGCAGTGAATGAATAGCTGGTTCACAAATTGTATCAGCCTCACATAAATGGCATCTATTGCATAATACCATCCTCATATTCTGAAAGATTATCTCGTGTGAGAACAACCACATGCATCAAAGTCCAGTACATTCATTTATTATTTTTTAGAAAGAAACTAGTTATTCTGTTTTAATTGCTCTTGCAGTAGCCTATTCTTTAAGGTTTTTGGTCAAGGTTGTCTTAACTCTTGTCTTATGAGATATCTACTTCTCATTAACATTGAATGATTATCTCATTTTAGATATTGAAATTAATCAGAGGAAAACCAGTTAAATGTGCTAGATTGGGCTTTAACAAATCTTTACTTGTGGCTTAAGCTCAAGGAAATGATTTTTCAAGAAGACATTCCTGCATGTCCAGAACAATCAATAGAATTCGTGGGATGTAATAATATTATGGCTTCTGGTGGTGTAAAGCAGTGAATATATTTTGATGAGATACACCTTCAGATTTACCAAGGAACTAAGAAGCCCGTGGCGGAATTCAGGATTTTAAAGTCATGGGTGCCGATCGATAAAAATTCCAAAACAAAGAGAAAAAATGAGTTTAATTGTGGGTGCTCACTCATTATTTATATACATATTTTTATAATTGCCTACGCAAATTTACTACACATGGTCAAAGATAATGGGTGCTTAAGCACCCACCATTGTCAATGTGGATCCGCCACTGTAAGAAGCTTTATTTTCACACTCACATCCTTAGTACTATTTATTATCACTGAGACAATCACGCTCTCTATGATTCTACTCTCTTTTTCTTGCAAATTTCCTTCTTATCAATGAAATAAGGAAAATGAGAAGAAACGGGTTTAAGAAAGACAACTCAGCTCGTTTCCAACTAGCCAATATATGCCATATGTGGCACACAAGTTCAGAGTCTACCCCCACTTACATTCACTGCCCAGTAGCAACAGACACCTGGAACACGTTCTTAACCATTTTTAGACTGAATTGGAATGCCTAATTCAGTCAGAGGGGTTTATGAAGCACGGGGTCCTAGGAGAGTTGACAAAAAGCCATCAAGCACATCTGACAAATGGTGCCTGCCTGTATTTTTGGTGTGTCTGGATTGAAAACCCCCCAGATGTTTCGATGGTAATTCAACTTCTAGAACCTACCTGGAAGCTAAATGTTTGGTTAACCTTTTTAGTTGGGTGAATCTTTCCCCTTTTTAGTTGGTTAACCTTTCTTGATGCCTTTCTAATGACATTTCACTTGCCTTATAAAAAAAACAAAAAAAAAAAAAGAAGAAGAAGAAGCAGAAGAAGAAAGAAAGACAATTCAGCTCAGCACATGCACTTCCACAGCATCAGAAATGAGATTGACAGTACTGCAGTCTGTAATCATCACTTAGCAGTTCATTTCCCACTTTCGGAAGCCTCAGAGAGGCTACATTCCATTCTTAATAAACTGTCAAAACATTCACCAATTAATCCTGACTAAATTAATTCAGCTCTTTTATACTGAACCTTTACCCAATTATAAAGCCAGCATGTTTCTGCATAACATCACGATGTACTCCAAAAGTACAGATAGAATTAGGTCAGTTTGCGTAAGAGATCACCATATAAAATAAAACGAAAGATCTCTAGTGAAGTACTTACGGGGCCACATGACTGTTAACTAGAATAAAGTAGATTCTCCAGAACTTCCGCTCCCTCATTATGCGCGGGCATAACTCATACCTTAGCTTTGAGATTTCCTGCAAAAACACCACATGTAATGCTCTTACTAACAATGGCAATTTTTTAAAAAAGGCACACTTTTATCAGACAAAAATTGCACCATTCTGAACAGCATTTTCCCTTTTCATAGACCTCAAATCAAAAAGATTTGGTGCATTAGCAAAAAGTAGAATAGGAGATTACAAACTATTCAATATGTCGGTGTAAACATCTTCTGAAAGACAAAAACTCAACAAAAATTGTGATGTACCATGAACTTACAAGAGAAGCTAACCAGGACAGCCAGTGGACCTTCTAAACTCAAACACAAAATAAAGCAACACATATTGAGACCCTTGAGATTTAGGCTTAATTAAGCATAAGACTGATTTTCTTTCTAAATAATGAATCTGAGCAGGTAATTCTATGCGAGTTCCGCAAAGAAAAATCAGTATCAAGTACAAATAAATGAGAGGGGATACAATAGGTCGATGGCCAACTTAAAACTACTGTAATTATCTTTATATTAAATTCACTAATATGCTCCGATCTGTATTTTATGAAATGAGGCATTTTAATGTCACTGACTCCAAGCTAGTTTGGGAATTGAGACTTAGTCTATTGATCAGCCAACCCTTAGAGGGTGAATAACCCCAGAAGTCATGCGCTCTTTTTTTTTTTTAAATGTCATACCTTGACAGATTGAAGAACAAGTTTTGCGTGTTTTTCTTGAAATTCTGTAAGATCCTGCCGAACATTTGACACTGTAGGAATATCAGAGATCACCGAATCATCTGCACATCCAAGCCATACTTCAGTTAAGCTAGTTTCTTTTGAGAATAGGTGACTCAAAAGAAATAAACAAGGAACATGTGATTAAGCATAGAAAAATCATTATAAAATGTAAAGGGAATCACAATTTTTATGATAAATAATGGAAATAACGCTGCATGTGAAAGCTTGCTAACATAGACAATCCCAATCCTAGATAAAGGAGGAGGATTGGGGTGGGTTGACGGTTGCGTAAAACAAGTCTATTTATGATAATATCCTCATGATAGCTTCCTGAATGGGAATTAAACGGGTACAAATGGAGTGAAATGGATATTGAGGATGATAAATGAGGGAAATCACAATCTTTAACAAGTATGCTGCCAAAAACTAAAAATGACATGCTCCAGAAATTATTGCAAGAGATGGAGATCTCCAAAGGATATGGATTTTTTTAATTTTTTTTTTTGTTTGTTTGCACAGATGTAGGTGTTTGCTGTTAGAATTCCAGAAATGAGACTAGGAAATAGTTGCTTCTAATACACTTTTTCTTTAACTAACACTTCATGATTTATCTAAATCCTCCCTATAACATTCTAATCTTGAAGCTCATATAAGAAGTGCAACCAACAGTGTCCAATAGCCCATGCCTTGAAATGTTTATACTTTCAGGCATATATCCTTGTAAGGTGGTGGGCAAGGTCCAACCTGATGCATACTGCTAATAGAATTAGACCCTCGCAGAACAAAAATCATCATGTCGCATCATCTGAGACAACAGTTATCCTCTTCAAGACTCTGGGCTAGAGATAAAGGAGGGAATACTTCTCCGTGGACTTGACATGTTCCATTTGCAATTTTTGCAGGGTGCTTTATCCAGAAACAAACACAATGACATTTATATATCTCATCACCAAGACAGATGAGTTTGATTAAGTGCATTGCTTTGGTAATTGGTTGACTGAACCATTTGAATGTTAAGAAAATGTAAGAATGGCATGCAATTTGTTGAACTGAACCTCAGTCGTTCATCTATTGTAGATCTAATTTGCGCGGTTAGGTTATAGATGAACCAATCTAATGGATTTCAAGGTTAATGCTAAAACGTACTACCACTTCTAAAATTTAAACAGTATCTGCCGTAACTCTCAGCATTCTTCAAATGTTACCCCAAAGATCTGATTATAAGTTTGTCCTTAAGCTAGGAGGGAAATATTAATAAAATCGTTCCCAAAAAATACTTGGTTTGGCTCTATACACCCTGTCATTGTTGCATGTGAAGAATAATAAATGTAGTAATCTCAAATACATAAAATGAAGAGATGATTAACGACAATGAACGTAGAGGTTCAAAAACAATTTGAACATGTTCTCGTCACTCTAAAACCCTGCATAACTAAACAGCACCTAGTTTCTCTAGAAGTCTATCTCTAAAGCTTCTAGTAGTTCCTTCTATTTACTTCTTCTGCCATAATTTTTTTTATATATCCAGAGTTATAGTTCCACTAATAGGGATACTTCTTCGCATTTTCCTCCTGTCAGAATTATTAAATTAAAATTGTGACATAGCTAAAGTAATATCTTCAATACTGCGAATTTCTCTTGTACATTTAGCATAGAGAACTCAGCGATCCGATTTTCTGTTAGTTTTCCTTCATTCAGCAATCTAAGTGAACTCCGAAATTGAAATAATATACTTTTTCCAGTTCAAGAAGTACAACATTTTCACCTCTTATTCAGAAATGTACAACAAATTACCTTCAAGTGGGAAATCCTGAAAGGTATTAATGGTAATCCCCTTAACGAACTCTCTCAAATCATCAGTAACTCCAAATTGCTCGAGATCGGCAAGCGTAGGGGCAGACGACGCCGTTTGAGGAGCAGCCGACGACGAGTCAACAATGTGAGAAAGCGCAGCGGAAGGAATTTGAAACTTGATCTGTTCAGCGCGTTTGAGAGCGTCAACTTTGATCTGATCGGCGCGTTTAGAAGCTTCGGAAACGATAACATCGGCGCGTTTGGTAGCTTCGACGGCTATTTCCTTGGATCGTTTGGAAGCCTCGACGGCGATTTCTTTGGATCGCTTGGATGCCTCGACAGCAAATTCCTTAGATCGTTTGGAAGCTTCTAGGACGACGTCGGAGAGCTTGGAGGAACCAATGGTAAGCTCCTGAGAACGATTAGCGGCTTCTTTTGTGAATTCTGTGGTTCGCTTTGCTGCTTCTTCAGCGAAACTTCGAGCCTTTTGCCAGAAATCCATGATCGTTTTTGGATTTGCAAGAGAACAGAAGCTAATCAAAGTAACGGATTGGAGAAGTGTAGTGGAGTTTGGAGATGCTGCAAATGATTTTCGGGATTCGGAATAGGGGAGTACTGAGTTTTAAAGACGACAAAGAAGAGGAAGAAACAAATTAGGACTTTTCTATTATTAATAAAGAGTTACGAAGAAGGAAGCGCCTTATACCGAGAAAATGATAAAATTGATCCCTCAAACATACCGGTACATTTAAAATAGTCCTTAACTATACTCTCGAGCAGTTTTAATCCTTTAAATTTGCTAAAAATGAGCACTTTTGATCTTTGTAAAATATTGATCAAACTCTGATTGTCGCATTTAACGAGAACCGCAAAAAAAAAAAAAGGTCTATTGGTAACTCACATTTGGAGATGTCAAATTTTTGCAGTTTTTACTATTTTGGTCTATATCTAATGTTTGACTCAGCTATTTGAGTTGTAAGTTTCTATATTATTTTTAGTTTAGGTCTAATATATGATGTTATTTTTAGTATTGCTTGTGATTTGACAAGATTTTTCTAGCTTTTTTTGGTCAAATTCTTTTTCTTACAATTTTTCGCTAAATCTAACCGTCAAAGTATGTTAAATATTTGAGGGGACCAAAATGCTCAATTTCAACAAATTTAAAGGATCAAAACTATCCAAGGGTATATTTAGGGGATAATTTAGAAACTACCCTCAAACATAAGGGATCATGTTTGTTATTTTCTATTCTTTGAAAATATACTCTGGATAGAAATCTTGGTAAATAATAGGTTTTTGAAGGAGTAATTGATTTGATAGTGTTATACTAAAATATAGTCGTCAGAATATGTATTTAGTAGTGTATGTCTTATATTTTAAAAATATAAACTTAATTAATTTAGTTTGGTTCTAATATTTAAAAATTTACTTATTTAATTTAATTTCTTTTTAGGAAAAACCACCCACCGAACCATAAAAGTTAATAACCCCAAGAGGAAGCATCTACCTGAACTTTCTCTTATAAAACAAGAAATGTCAAAACTACGCATATAATGACGTCTAGACTCTCGATTGAGCAACTACCTAAATTGTTCTAATTTGCATCGTGCTAATATGGTTAATCACTATAGATAATTGATCAACCAGTTGGGTAATCCTCGTTCGTGTTGGTTATTAGAGTGGTGTCGAGCTGTTGGAGACTTCAAGATATACATGTTGTTTCTTTCGCAGACCTCGAAATCACCATTCTACTTCTTTATGTACTTTTGAGACGTATTATGTATTCCTTGTAGCAGGGGCGAAGCAAGTCACATAACAGCTATAAAGTACAAGTAATAAACAGGGGAACGGGGCTATAATTCTCGAAACGACCGGTCGGATCGTTACACCAAAAATAAGAAAAATACACAAATAGTACTAATACTACGGGTAAGATGAAGGGACACTAACGATTACCTGTCAACTTTCCACTCTAATTCTCGATCTCCACCCTTTCCTATCGAGGTTCATGTCCTCGGTAAGTTGGAACAATAATATGTCCTGCCTAATCACCTCACCCCCAATACTTCTTTGGCCTATCACTACCTTTCCTTAGATCTGCCATGATCAACCTCTCACACCTCCTGACCAAAACATTTATGTCTTTCTTCCCTGCACATGCCCGAACCATCTCAGCTCGATTTCCGCAATATGTCCTCCACCTAGGCAACACCCACCTTGAAAGTACCGCATGTAATGCTAAAACTAAGATTTTAAACCTTGCCACATGTCTGAAATCTTTCAAAGCAATATCTCTGGTTTAATCACTTACATAAATTATATCAGCTTAAAGAATCCACTTGTCTGTTTATCACCTTGTAAAGTATTCATGCAATTCTTTATCTAGGGTTTTCACCTTTCCACATGTCCAAAATCTGTGCTAACACAATGCCACTTGTTTTATCTACTCAGTAACTCTCATACATCAGCTTAAACTTTACTAAGAATAACTTGATAAGTTAGTCTTTGCATGAAAACCAGTTTAAAAATATAATGTCCCTCTGCTATTTTTGGGAAGGTAAAATTTTGACTAAATTTTTTAGAATTTGCTTGTACTCAGCATGAAGTGTAAGAGGCATAGGAGACGAAATGTTAGACTGGGTGAAGTTGGCGATATCCCTGCTGCATGTGGCATTTCCAATATAAATAAGAGAAATTTTGGTAATCAGAGATGGAAAACTCAATTCCAACAATGTAAAGATTCAGAGAATAGTCATGTTCTAGCGCTGCCTCAACAAATGTCAAAATCAGTTTCTGATTTGGCTAGTTGTGACAATATTAAGAATGCAATATTATGTCTTGGAACCAAATGTAAGAAGTCTAGGGTCATGAAAAGGCAAAAGAAGAGTACAAAAGTTGGTTCCTTAAGCAAGAAGCCAAGAAAAGGGTCAAAACAAGAAGTGGTCATTGATAAAACAAAAGGCTATAATAGCAATGTAAATAGTGTTAAGAAATGGCTTGAAGAGGTTGGATTTAAGAAGTATGGTTTATTGTTTGAAAAGCATGAAGTGGATAATGAAACTCTGCCATTGCTTACATTTAATGATCTCAAAGAAATGGGAATTTCTGCGGTTGGAAGTCGAAGGAAGTTGTTCAATGCAATTCAAGAATTAAAGGAAAGGAGGCAAGGGTGATTAGAAAACAAATGGCTTTAAGTATCATTTTTCTACTTTTGCTATTAGTTTTGTATGTCTCTGTGTTCTGGTTTTGGAATTGTAAATATTTCCTTGTTTTATAAATCTGAACAATGTGTTAAGTTAGATCTTAACTTACTGGTAGGGACAATAAAGAACAGGCCGTGAAAATCTGAATAAGGGTTGAAAATCGAGTGCAATATTTACTAGAGTATAAAAAATAAAAAAACAATCTTATTAATTAGTGCAAACTAGTATCAACAGATTCAGCATGTCTTACACGTTCCATGTGACCTGCACTATTTTGTTACAAATTTATTTCAATCAAATTGAAAATAAACTGGAAAAAAAAAAATCGACTAAGTTATATATATATATTTATATTTCACTTAAAAATGTTGAATTTTTGTGGGAGAAAAAGATTATCTACTTGAAAAAGTAGTAAATAAAATGTGGTAAAAATTACTTTTTTAAACTTCAAACTCATCTTCAACAAATTATTTTAATGTATAACCAAATAACATTTTGAAACTTATTTTATTAAAAAAAAAAATTCTGTGGACAAACGGACTACAACAACGTTTGGTTATTGATTAGACTGATCTTTTAGTTAGCTTTTCAAGACGAGTTTTTCAAAGTGAAATTTTTTTTTCCGCTCATAAAATTTTTAAGTTTTTTTTCAAGTTAAATGCTTGTCCAAATATAATATATGTGTTTTTATATTAAGTTGTATTAGTGTATGACATAAAGTATGTTCATATTTAATGATCGCATGAGAAAGCATACGCTATATTGTTATTTATGAGAGGCTTGATCCTAGGACCTTGTTCCCTAGGTGTAACTATAAATAGTGAGTTCTACCATCATTGTAGAGGGAACAAATTTTCTGACAAGCATATGCTATATTCTATCAAAAGCCCATAATATTTTACTTTCCTGTTTATTTATATTGTCCTTACTGCCTCTGGAAGCTCTGCTCCCAGACTAAGATATCTGTCGTTTTATTTCAATTTCAAGGCTAAGTCTTACATTTTTTGTCTAATTCATCTATTATTTTTAGATCAAATCGATTCATTTGTCCATAAACCACGTATAAATTCAACTATACCGTTTTACCGGATAAACAGTTTGGCGCCCACGGTGGGGCTTAGACAGTTGTGTAATTGAGTGATCCTTACATCTATTACTAACTCGTTTGATTATTTGTTCTTAGCAAAAAAAAAAAATCATACAAAGTGGCTGATAACGGTGTTAACATCGCACACAACATTGAGGCCCAAGGAAATCAGTCTCAACATGAGGATTTAGTCAGTGATACCCGCAACGAAGCGGATGAGGCCACGGTGAACGATATTCGCGGCATGTTCGAGGGGCAACTCCTAATGATGCTGAAGATAAGTATGTCGTCGAAACGGTAAGGATCTTGAAGGAGCAACAAGAGGCCATTATATGACATCTCATACGGCAGGATCAAGTCATGACGGAGCTGAACCAGGCGTTGTCGGGTGCTTCCAACAATGCAAATGGATGAGGTCCAGCTCCTCCCGGTGCTCCCACAAATCAAATAACGCAGAGGGTCGACAATAACACCCCGAGAGGCGAGGTCGGTCTCGATGGGACCGGGGGGAACGGTGGCAGATTCGGTAACAACAACGAGAATGATCCTTTTAAAACCAAACTCATGAGGTTCATGAGGGAGATAAACGCCGAATGGATCAAATTTCTGGCGCACCACCAGTGCTGAAAGGTCCGGAGTCAAAGAAGTACACACAATTGCCGTTCAAACCAAGTGCGGCACCAGAATTGATCCTGAAGCGCTTTAAAAGTCTAGACATCCCGAAATATGATGAGACTTCAGATCCTCAGGAACATATCACCACCTATGCAACGGCGGTGAAGGAAAACGATTTGGCTCCGCACGAGATTGAGTCAGTCCAATAAAAGAAATTCGGGGAGACCCTTACAAAAGGAGCCCCGAGAATTCCATAGACTCCTTTGAGATGCTCCCGGACTCCTTCATCAAGGCCTATGTCGGGGTCAGAAAGGTACATGCTTGAAAGGCCGACATATTCAGGATTGCACAAGGAGAATCCGAGCTGCTGCAGGAGTTTGTGACCAGATTTCAGAAGGAAAGAATGTTGCTACCAACCGTACCGGATTAATGGGAAGTTGAAGCATTCACCAAAGATCTGAATCTGAGAAGTTCCGACGCTTCCCGGAAGTTGAAAGAAAATTTGCGCAAGTTCCTGACAACAATTTGGGCAGATGTTCATAACCAGTACAAATCAAAGATAAGGATTGAGGATAATCAGCTCGGTTTCCCACCATCGGTCAAGGTTCGGGATCGAGAGAAGAATAAAAAGAAATTGAAAGATAATTTTGACACAGATCGAGGGTCTTCAAGGGATCGGTTTTTGCCCGATAAACGGGCCGAAGGACGCGGCAGAGGTTTCTGATCGGCAGATAGATTCACTACCGATAGGAGATCTG